AATTGTTTGCTTTCTTCATAAATTCGAAACCACCTAAATTGTTGCTAAAAAAGATTACGGATGGAGTAACTATTTCAAATGATTGCCTCTCAGAAAAGATACTTTCATTTTTTATCCTTTTTGTTATTGTTATTCTTGCAGTCATCTATATCTAGTAAACTGGCCATTTCATCTAACTGTAGCTTATGGAATATGGACTGCCATTTAGAGGCTGAGAGAATCTCAAGGGATCAACAGAGGAAAACATTGGGTGATAAACTGGTCTTTGGTGAACCCAGAGTATCTTCTGCTGACCTTCAAGCTGACGCGTTAAAAAATGTTGGTGTTGATCCACCAAAATCTGAAAAGGCAAGGAGAAAGAAGCATATTCATGACAGTGAAGAGGTTGTTCGATACATGTCGAATTTGCCGAGTTATCTGGAAAGAGGAAAGTTCTATCAAGAGAAAGCCTTTAATGTTGGGGTCCTTGAATGGAACCGTCTAGAAACATGGCAAAAAAAGCACAACCAACAAATTCCCTGTAAAATTAGTTCAAAGATTATCCAGCCTTCGGTTGAGAAGGTAGATACTACTACTCGTAAGGAATTTAATAAAGATTCAAAGTTGCATGATGCTATTATTAAGAACAGAAAGTCGCAAGATATTAAGGACAATAACTGCACAAGTTCCATGACAAAAGGAATGATGGCGACTTTCAACGGAGAAACTATAAAGGAAAATGCAGAAGCTGCTACTGAAGTAAGAAATCCTTCTCCACCTCTTCCTAAAGCCAATACCATCATGCATTCACAGATAAGATCAACCAGAAAAGTAGATGAGAAGTGTCTGACGGTCTCATCATCTAGACCGAATCAACCTTCAATGTATGTGGGCAAAATCTCAACAAAACCTCCCAGAAGAATAAAGCCGGAGTCCAACAAACCAACCAATGCAAACGAGGAACATGAAGAAACTGCTACTGCTAAACTTGTAAGAGATCCTTCTCGAACTCATCGTTTTAGAATACAATTAAGTGGAAAAGGATTGATATCTACTGCAAAAGATGTTTCGAATGCTGGATCTAAACAACAAGAAAGGAGGGATGAAGACGATTCATCTATTTTTCATCGTCTGACTTGTGACAAATCAAATGATTTGAATTCCAGAGTTAAGAGGTCTAGTCCACTGAGAAGGCTGCTGCTTGACCCATTACTGAATCCAAGGAGAAGCACTTCTTCTGATCATCATCACTTCCCTCGTTTGATGAAAAGTTGTAAAACGGTTGAAATTGACAATGATACAAAACACAGACCTTTGAGAAAACAAGCTCTTTTCCAAGTGTCTATGACAAGTGGAGTCCCTCTGTTTAAATTTGCAGTGGAGAATGAAGGAGGTGAGATTTTAGTAGCCACAATGCAGAAAAAGAAAAACAACAGTTGGATTTATTCAATCTGTAATGTCTGTGAAATGAAGAGAAAAGACAAAAGCAATGGGTATATATCTAGTGTTATTGCTCAAATGAAGGTTTCTGATGATGTTCCCTTCTCTGGCTTCCATTCAAGAACTGTTAGGGAGTTTGTTTTGTTTCCTGCAGAAGAGATGAAAGAGTCAGGTCAGCCAACAAATGAGCTCGCAGCAATCATTGCTAGTGGCAGGGAAGAAGACATTAGGAAGCTGACTGTTATTCTTCCAGGTGGTAATCACGGATTACCAGGGAAAGGCTGTGAACCTTCTCCACTTATTGAACGATGGAAGTCAGGAGGGTCATGTGACTGCGGGGGTTGGGATTTGGGCTGCAAGCTAACAGTTCTTGCTGCTAATCGTAGCGAAGTGGTGACCAGAGGATCATTTAATTCAGCTATCATTCATTTAACTCCCGGACGGTTTGAGCTTTTTCATCAGGTAACAACAATCTGAGCGCTATAGTTTTTGTGTCAAGATTCTTGCACTTTATAGCTTTGTTAATCAGCTTCAGCATTACCACCTTGATCTCAAGTAGTATTGGCCAGTGGGATAAAAGTTATAATGTCAAAACGACATAAATTCATGCAAAAAAACACTAGAAAAAGTTCTATATAGGATCTCCTTATCGTGCAATATGCTTATAAAAGAGTTCACAACAATGAGGCGAATGATCATCATCATAGAGGTCATTTATATTTGCATTAGTGAGTAGTGACCATATTTGTCTGGTGCAGTGGCACTGATGGATGTGACCATAATAAGCTGATATAGGTGTTATGAACACATGAATTATGACAAGTAAAAATTCATTTGAAACCTTATCTCAGGGAAATATTTCACTGAAAAACACTCCTTATATTTGTTTCCCACTTGCCCAGTAATAATCCTACTACGTACTCCCTCCGTCCCAATATAAAAGGCACACTTTCCTTTTCGGTCCGTCCCAATATAAAAGGCACATTTCCCTTTTTGGCAAACAAAACAATGCCAAACAGTGTCCAAACAGTGTCTAAACAGTGCCAAACATTGTTCAAACAATGTTCACCCTTAAAATGTCTAGAAACGCAAATGTGCCTTTTATATTGGGACGGAGGGAGTATAATTTTACAAATACCGCAACTGTGATTCACTTTTCATTACCCATTGCAGCCATTTTTTCTCTTTTTTATACAACACTTCCCATAAACTAACAGATGTCAGCTTCTCAGTTAGTTTTTTACGTTGGTCCAAACAGAGCCACATGTTCATATATTTATTTCCCGTCCATCAATGCATGTGGCTGTGATTTCCTTCAAATTTTCAGTTGAGCTAGTTTAAGCCATCAGGTTTGAGTGTTTGACTGCCCTTGCTTAACATTTTATGCTTAATGCGTCAGGGAGAAGATGCAGAACAAAAGAAACCAGTTTTTAGCTTCAATGCTTTCAAGGAAGGTATCTTTTCCGTTGAGTACAGCTCATCTCTAGCCCGCTTACAAGCATTCTCTATTTGCATAGCAATTCTGGAAAACCTTGCTCAATCGGTGAAGGATGAGTCAATTTCTCAAGGTGACATGAACAAGTGAGTATATTTCAATTTCACCAAAATCGTCATCTCTTGGGAGAGAGTAGCTTGAATTGTAACAACTAGATGTCTAGATGAATCAGAGTCAATATTATTGTACATATATGCCCTTTTTGTAACCATCTCACCAACTGCTGAAGTTCTTCAACCAATGAAATGAAGAATTCAGATGGCTGAAAATAAAGAAATGTAGAAAGGTGCTTCTATAAAGAACTTCATCATTTCCCATGCATATTGATTTTGACTTCTGTTTGCAAGTGTAATCATGTAGATATATCCCATAGCCGTATGTGTCTTGTTATTCTGAGATTAAGTTTTGTGTTTGTACACTGGGTTTAGCATCTACAATTAAGCTTCTTACAAGTCACAATTTCCTTTACGTTTGAATGATTGCAACCACTCTTGATAAATGTTGCTGTGCTTGAATGAATTGTGACTCCATATATATATGTGCACATGCATATACATCAAGAACAAAGTGATTTAAAAATCATTTACGGAATACATCTATAATATATTTGAAGAAGTTACCAAAATTGGTATTTAAGCATAATTTATTTTCAATTACTTCTTTAAAGGTAATTCCAGTTTGGGCACCCAAAAAACGAACTTTGTCTCAACTTAATTACACCTTATGCTTATCTCCGAATTGCCCAAATTTCAAGTTATTTTTGTGCGTTTTTTATATTTTGTATTATATTATAGGGCTCCTAAAAAATTTAAGTTTTCAGAGGTGTGAAAGATGGCAATTAATATTTTTTCTAAACGTTGTAATTTTGGATATTGTTCATTAATTTTCACAAGTTTGATGAAAATATATGCCCGTGTAACTTTTTTTTATTATTATCGTCCCAGGTAACTATATTAATAAACGTTACCTTTTCATTTAATAGGTATATACCAGATAATCTATCTATACATTTTATTCAAAGAAAGTGATGTCCGGTTCATAATCTTATTAAGCATTGCTAAAGTAAAGATAAAGCTTAACCAGGGCCGAAGAAGAAAAACTACAAATAAACTCGAAATTTTTTTAATTTTGAAAAACAATGAAGTGAACAGTATACGTAATGCTCCCGTGCTCCGTATGAAGGTAATTATATTTACCTTAAACATTACAAATCGTGTTACTTAAAAAACCCAACTTACAAGTTCAGTAAAATATACATTAAATAATACGTAGTACGTATCTTTAATAGTCACATGAGTGATATTTTAAAAATAACTTTTATACACTTCTAGATAATTTTGTGATTGGAGTATTTAATTAATACTAGTAATTTTAGAGTGATAATAATACACATGAATTATATAGAATAATTTCTTTCAATTAGGATTAGAAAAAGAATCTCTATGATTTATACATGGGATAAGGGTCAGATAGGGCCTCGAACTTGGAAAAAAATGTCAAATAAGGACATATTTAGGATGCTATGTCCGGTTGACGCCATTTGGGGCGGTTCCCGGTAAAAATTTTTGATGAAATTTTTTGAGAATCTTATTCATTAAGTCTAGTTTACTCATATCAAATTTGAACTAACAATTCAATCGGGAAGGCATTCAAATGAATTCTTGAAGATAATTGCGCTTTTAACTGCACAGTTATCTTCAAGAATTCATTTGAATGCCTTCCCGATTGAAGTTTTAGTTCAAATTTGATATGAGTAAACTAGACTTAATGAATAAGATTCTCAAAAAATTTCATCAAAAAATTCTATCGGGAACCACCCCAAATGGCGTCGGCCGGACAGAGCATCCTAAATATGGCCTTATTTGACATTTTTTTTCAAGTTCGAGGCCCTATCTGACCCTTATCCCTTTATACATTGATTATGCATTCTTTAGATGAATAACGAAATGATAAAAAATTCTAATATATACTAGTCCGTATTGCTACGTATAAGTTAGAGACTTAAATGATTAATACAATAAATGATTAATCTATGATGATGTTTGATTGTATTAGTCTTAAGAGTTAAATTTTTTAATAATGCATTTTTTATTTTAATAATTGAATTGGTGATTGTGAAATAACAAATCGAAGGTCGCAAATACAATTACTCAGAATTTTATTAAGATAAGATCAAGTCTATAGGCCTTAGAAAAACAATGACTTCAGCCCAGCTTACAACTTAAGCAAAACAGAATGAACACAGGCAGAAAATAAAATAGACAAAGACGAGATTGCCCTGGTAATGACACCTCGCAAAGACGAGCTGAGAACCACAAATAAGGCATCCACCATATTGCCTTCTCACATCCTACAAAGAACTTGCAAAGGAAAGAGATATAGATAGATGGATGGAATTCCAATTACACTCCATCATATTTCAACCTTCAAATGCTTATGGATGTTTTCACCAACCTTAAAGGACAACTCTGAATTTCCTAGCACACTTGGAGTGTTACAATCCTCCAAGGCAATTTAAAAATCTCATCCTGCACGGCTGCACCTTATGCAATTGGTCTACTATGTTTCAAATACTTGAACATGCTTCAGTCCCCCTTCAGATATAGCACTCGTTGGTTTAAATATTAGCAACTTTTCTTTTGCTTTTCATCCTTAACTTATTTTCTTCTAGTCTATATCTAACTCTCAGCCAACAGGGATTTTGAAGAAAAAAAACAAAAAAAAAAACACGAACATCACTCTTTTCTAAGCTTCCCCGTCAACTATTTTTTTTTAACTTACTATAGTTAATCCCACCGAAACTAATCACTCCTTTTAATATAGGCTATCTATGAACAAAAGTTTAATTTTTCAAAAAAATAAAAATGACAAAAATCGTGTTAGTGTATGTTTATTTTTTAACAAAGGCTATTAGAAAGTCAGTGAAAACGATAATAGTGCAAAACTGATTACATGGATGAAAAACAAAAATTAAAATTATAAAAATACCTACTAGGCTAATACGTAAAAAACTATATTTGCCTAGTCTGGAAATAAATTCAAACATCGCTTTAAAAGCCACTGCCAAATATCTGTAGCCTAATCAAATAACCCTTCACCTTTGGAGGTTTACTTGCACACTAAGGCTAAATTAATTGAAACAATCCTTCTTAATCTTGGTTTAAAAAAGAACCTCTCTTCTCATGTCTCCTATAAATAAGATATTTGGCAAGTTCAGTTGATAGTTGATACTCTCTTATGAGCATCATGGGTCAAAAGAATCTCGAAGAGACTAATGAGGTCACAATACTTCAACTATTTTTGTATACTTCCTTTGATCTCTTTTAATTGAAAAAGTCAACATTTCACATTTGCCAACGCACAAGTTTGACCATTAATATCTTTCATTCCTTATTAATAAAAAAAATTAAAAATTTATATTTTGAAAATTTAGAATGAGAAGAATTTAACAATAGTTTTTAAAAATTTAATTTATACTCCGTAATACTTTAATAAATAAAATATAGTCGAAGTAGAATAAGTAAATAGTGCAAAAAGTCCAGTGTTACAATTGAAAGAAAATGGAGGTAGTATATTGTTTTTCTTTTAATCCTTCACAGGGTACATCTTAAAAAGCATCCGTTATCGTGTTATGGAAAGAACCATCTATCTTTAATCATCACTTTGGAGCCGGTGTTAGATGAAAATCTCATGCACAATTATGAATGAGAGAAACCATCAAAAAAGGGTTTTATTTTTTACTGAACTCCCACTTCAGTTATTGATCTTCTTTACTTCAGAGATAGTCACTCATTTTTTTTATTTTTCTTGAATTTCACATCAAAAGAAAGATGAATTCTAGAAATCATAGGTATTCTTAACATTACACCGAGGATCTCATTGCTATTCATCTATTTCATATGAATATGTCAAATTGAATATGTCTACTCCCTGTGAGGGGCACGCAATAGAGTAAATTGTTCTACAGTTTCTACTTCCTAGAATCCACAGCTCCACGAGCCTTTGCTTGCATTATTATTTTTAGCATACATACAAAAAATAATCACAATTGAGATTACGCCAAAAGATCACTTATCTTCCCTTGTCTTTAGCCGTATCCATAAAGGCTCTGAATTCTAGTAGGCACTACCACATTATTTCTCACAAATAGCTCTTCTTGCTCTAGTTGGGATGCCTGTATTTCGTGGTTTTACTATATGTGTTAACTGTATCTATTATTCACTAAAAACATGTCTATCGAAGTACTAATGAATAAATGCGTACACTAAACAACCACGTGTGAATATATAGAATATTCCCATCAAGTTATTTCATCAAACACTGTTTGACTACATATATGAATTATAATACAGAGTAATAGCTAACATACAAGGAATGACATGATTGTTGCAATTAAGCAGGATACCCTTTGTCAGCTTCAAGAATCTAACCTAAGTTCGAAATTCATCTTTCTATTTGGAATCAATGATTGTAAATGTTAAAGCCAAAAGAGATTTTGCTATGATGTTAGAATTTGATCATAGAGTTGATATGAGGATTCTAAGTTCATTTCCCATACTCAACTAAGTTAAAAAATGATCATTCCAATTACAATAGAAACCATTTGGGTATACCTAAATTGATATTTGAATGTGTATCCCGTAATCCCAAAGTCATTAAATTCCATTTAGTATTATGAGTAGATAGATGTCATCATAAAACCTTTTCACTTGGAACCCTATTCACCTCAGAAGCAATTAGATATCTAGAAGACCTGAATCACCTTTCTCATATGGTCGATTCATACAGATACTACACCTTTGGCATACACTCCACTTAGTGGTGAAATGTTGGAAACGGAGGACTAAGAATTGTTCTATGAAGTATCCACCCCCATTATACTCCCTAGACAAAATTTCAGCATATGTGAAGGAAAACCATACACATTTCTCTGGAGAATTTCAGATTTAAAGAGACTAATAAACACAAAGATACACCAATAAGTACTTATATGTATCATCTCTGTGGTTGCCAATTACCAACTGTCCAACATGTCATGACTTCTAAATATTTTCTCAAAAAGTATGCCCATGGAGAAACCTAATTCTAAGAATAGTACATTTAGGACTCATTTCCTTTGGTGATAAAGACTAAAGATTGATTAGATTGAATTGACCAGCTTAGTATGACTTTATACTATGTTGACTTCATAGGATAAAATAAGTAAACATTAGCCAAATTCACTATAACACTATTTTTTGGAAAGGTTTGTGGGATTGGAATGCCTTGAGGGAAGTGTGAAAACTTAACCCTTCAACTTGGCCATGGCTAGTGCTGTGAAACTATTAACTAGTATTATAAATCCTAATTTGGAAAAACAAAAAACAAACACCTTAAATGTCAACCGATTTTTTATTCAATCATAATGATGAAATTTTCACAGAATAATAATCAAATTTCTCATCATCCTAGTGTATGTCAAGTAGAATAGCCGATGTCCAGGATAGTCCATGTCCATCACAAAATGCATAAAGCCACCCCAAGACCCATTAAACCAATAACTTACAACATAAAACTTAAATGATAGGCATAGCCTTACGAGGGCATATCGAGATATAGTCTGTAACTCCTTATATGTACATTTAAATATTAGATATAACTTGAAATAATATATAGTTAGTAGTTAGATCCTAAATCTGTTCAGGTGAATCTACAATTAGCTAGCATGGTCTAACTATCACCAAGAAAAAATTTATGGTCTAGTCCATCCAAAAATAGTTTTAAGAATAAATTCCACAATGAGGTATGAAGTATGAACTGCTTCTCAGGCACACTCCAGGCTTCAATTTGAATGTATATATAAAAGCAAGGATAAAATATAGAATTTGCATGCTGGAACCCCCAAGTTTTGAGTCATTATTTTCTGTTCTAAAATTAATGGGTATGCTCCTATTGTTTCATTTTAAAATAGGTACATTTAATATTGTCCTACAAATCCTTAAAAAAAAAATAGTGTCGTACAAAGATTCATAACAAGTTTTACTTTGCACAGCATGAACTATTAGGGTTGACAGGTTACTGCTCAAACATCCCCTTGGTGTGCTCCTATATGACTAGTTCAAGAGTCTACTTCGCTGGTTCAAGAGTCCATTTTATGAGCCCAAGTATATAAATCGTGTATTATTTTCTCCTAGCATAAAATACAAAACCAACTCCCTAATCACTTCCTCCCGTTTCACCAATATATAACTATTAACTATATCTGTATAGAGAACTAGAAATGTGATTAGCTGACAAAGAATGCCAGTTAGTCAGATTATATTAAACAAAACAAACACCAGTAGGTTACCAGTTGAATAAAAGTGTGCATCAAACATATCCTGGCCATCCAACAAAAATGTCAATTTTCTCTGTGGAAAGCATCCTCTCTCTTTTCTGCGACGCCCAAAAAAGGCAGGTTCAACCAAAAAGATCTATTATAAAATATTTTCAGCCACAAAAGAAGTATTAACTTCATAACAAATAACACCATATAATTAACATCAAAATTGTTAAAACACTTAAAACTATGTCGTCGTATCAGAAAAATTAAGGGAAGACAAAGAAGATGGAAATCTTCTTTGACAAAGAAGATGGAAATCTTCTTTGAAACAAAACAAGAACTACCATGTCTTTTAAGCAAATAAAATAAATTTGAAGAGGCTAAACAACTTCTTTCCATGTTGATATGAATGTTCTAAAAGGCGCTAGACACTAGTCGGGCGCCAGCCCAGTGCCTAGCGCCTAGGCGGGCGCCTAGTCGGGGACTAGTCGGAAACATAGAAATTGCACTACTTTTATCGATATTTTTGCATAAATATGATACATAATATAGTATTTTTGTGTGTATAAAATACATATATACATATTCATTAACAAACATAAACGATAGAATTATCACATTTAATCATATGTAGTATAGAATAACTAATCACTTAACTTCATTATGTTATAAATATAAATAATGATAAAATTTAGGTATATATACAGACTATATAGTTTTATCTTAATTTACAACTTCATTTCTTTATATCCATGGCTAAAGTTAAAGTACATATATCACTTAGAAGATTAAAATTAAATAGTGAAGTAATGCTCGACGAATCTAGACGGCCTAGGCGGCCGATTAGACGCTCTAGGCAGGCAACTAAGCGCCATAGGCGGCCGACTAATTCAACTAGGCGGAAAACCAAGTAGTCGGAGCGCCTAGACGAAAATCGGGGCGCCCGACCACCGCCTAGCGCCTAGGCAAGGACTAGTCGGGCGCCTAGAACGATTTTTAGAACAGAGGTTGATATGGTAGGCCATTGAAAGGAGTTGTACTGTACATCCAAATTGCGTTTTAAAAAAGAGACGTTTTTCGGGTTGGGACATTTTGAGTTTATTTTCTTTTTGTCGTTTCTTCTTTTGGTTGTTTTTATCTTCTTTTTATCTTCCCTCTAATGTACTTTACTCATCTTCAATAAAATTTCCTTTTCTCTAAAATAAAAACTGTAACGAGCTTCAACAAGGTGCGTCATATAAATGCCTTCACTAACTGATGATATCTGAGCTTCAGAATATAAGATTTAGAATCCCCCTCACCCTGACGAACCCAAGTTGTGACAAGAAAAATGTGTTTCCTAAAAAAAGGAGCCATAAGACCCTTAATATATAAGACAACTTTGGCACACTAAAGTCCTGCTACCTCATCGAGTCTTTAAGACAGTATGCTGAAGTCTTATTCTATACTAACCAAGTCTTTAAAACAGTGTGCTAAGCATGTCTGTGACCTGGAAGGTCTATCACACTATGACACTACCTCATCATCCCACGCCCCATAATGTGATGCCTAAGGAGCAGTTGGAAAAGCTCAAAATATTTTGGTTGGCTACTAACAAATAAGAAAATCAAGAACTGGTTTTCTAATGGAAGTCTGTCCAGCTAGTCAAGCTTGATAAAATACCTAAGCCTAATTAGACCGACAAGGAGAAGGAGGGCTTACTTGGTGAGTTGGTGGCAGGCTGCCCTCTTCTATCCTGACCTTGCTTCATCTTGGCCTGGGATTACTATCTCCTTCTAAACAGGGTTTTTGATAGAATGAGTCCTAAAAGGCTGGGAAAAATAGGACTAAGAAGCTTACAATAGCACGCTTTCTTTATATATCATATATCCCTTGGTTGGTATTAAAAAAATGTATCCACTCGAATTTCTAACAGACATCATTACGATAAGGGCTGGCAGCATAAAACTTGTAGCCCATTGACTGTCCAAAATTAGCTAACACCACATTTCATGATTAATAAAACTGCAGTGAAGAATTGAGATAAAAATTCTTCCTGAATCCTAGGAAGGATTTCCTAATTGCCATTCACAACTTTGAGCCCAAAAAAGTACCTACTACGCTATAAAGTAATATACACAGACAAGTTACTCATAGCTACTACCATGTGTATTGAAAATTCTATTGTAACGATACGATTTGATGGCAAGATTAGCATTTCTATTTCTTATGAACTTCAACTGATTTCTACAATTTAAATGCAATTTCAACTTGACAGTCACTTCAATGTGTACTATTCATAGGATAAATATCAGTATAATTCGGGATATGTGTACTTTCTCGGTCACTCGGTCTTTGTTACTGTTACCCACTTTCCTAATTTGGTTATCTAAAAAAGTTTTGTCAATTTTTGTATAAAGGAAAATAAAGTGGTTTACATTTTTCCTCTCTCGTATGTGTAAATCTTTACAACACAGTTTTCAATTCCATATTTCTCATGCCCATCAATGCTGACAAGAGAAATAGGACGGAAAGAGTATAAACTTATAGAGCATGTCATTCCTCTTATGGTAAGAATTGCATTCATCATCCAATAACTATGATCTCATTTGGTAACCCCTATTCTTGAGTCTGGACTTATGAGCCTTGTTAGCTAATTTTTACCAATCACTAAGCTTTTGATTTTGTAGGCTGAAATGTGTAATAATCAAAATAAGTAAGTATGAAGTTACTTTTCTTGTTGAATGGGCTAAAGTTGATGAAGCAGACAACTTTAGCTTTTTCTATATAATTTTTCTATGTTTTATTTGTTTATTTATGTTTCAAATATAACTTTTCCAGATTTCAACAAATTCATCCAATTCAACTATTTCATCCAAAAGTACAGCAATTTCAGTAGATTCAGTCCATTCAACCAATTCCATAGTTACCTAATGGGCTCCATATTTACAATATATGCCTCACAACATGTACACCTAATGAATAGTGATGATTCTTTATTAAAGAGTTTTGATCATTCATTATGATAACGTGCTTCATATAGAATCAATTAACCTAGATATTTTTTTCTGAAGTAAAACATGCTCCCAAGGTTTCAGAAGTGTCTTCTACCTCTTGGTTTAGAGGGTCATCATTACTAAAAAGGTTTATCACAAAAAAAATCAATGCCACTAGTTTATTTTAGTGGCCCTGATTTTCCTGTATCTTATGGAGTTATGGCTCAAATTGTTGAATCAATTACCAAATCATTCATACTAATAATAGTAAAAATGGGACCCCAATGTTTGTACTTTGTACATAATTTTTATGAACCATTAAAAAAAATTACCCAAAATCTTTTGTGACTGTCCAGTACATCAATTTTTAAATAAAAAATATGACCAACTTTAATAGTTGTGACACTTTGACTTTACACTATTCAAATACTCTACTTTGAAGTTTGACCACATTTTATTCATCAATGTATTAAATAATAATATTAAAAAAATAATATAAAATTGGTCTCATAGTAAAATTTCAAAATATGATTTTTTTATGATTTTTACTAATAGCCAATCAAATATATTAATGGCCAAAGTGGACAGAGTGGTGCATCAGTAAACATCAAATTCAAAAGTTGCAACTAAATAAGATAACAACTAATCCACTAAACACCAAGTCCAAACTCAAATGAGGACAGATAAAAACTACTAATTGATGAGATTTTGTTCTAAGCCAACTATGAGAGGAACATGCAAAGGCAATGGGGCCAGCAGTTTGGAAAAGAGTGAAAATTGGAACAAAGATGTCTCTTTTGACCAAGGACCAAATTAAGTATAAAAACATAAACATTAATTTTTCATCCAATGAGATGGTAATTTTAAGGAAAGTAATGTTTACTTCTCTCATCTAATTTTAAAGGGGGGAGAAAGATATTTTCAAGGAGAGCATTCCATGTATACATAATCCATAAAAATATGGGGTAATTTAAATGAGACTTGTACTAGTCAAAATATTTCATAGGTTATAAAATTAAGTTCTTCACAGGTGTGATTTCATATACTTCTACTCCTAAACTTCCTAGATCTTTTGAAGCATAGATGATTGACGGTTTTCAATGATATCATGACCAAAAAGCCTCTGCAACCTACTCGGCTACTAAAGAAGTAGTCACATATTATCTCATTTCTGGCTCCAAGTAACCCTTTTTCCATCTCGTCTGGGGAATAGGGTTCTGTTATCTGCTAATATGATTAATGGTGACTGTGACCCATAGCAAGATTAATTCTTCACAAATTATCTAAAGGCACTTGTACAATTCAAATCGCAAAATAAAGTACACAACATTTATCAGCATATGGTCTCAAATTCCATCAGCAGAAGTGCAGAACAGCTCAACTAGTCAACTAATAAACTGACAAAATTCTCCCAGCATAAATAAGGATCTCAAAGTTGTAAACAAGACACACTTAACTGCAACAGAATTTGGCTTCCAACTTCCCAAAACCATCTCCCGAAGAAGGCATCCACCTGAAATGAGGGAAATAGGGTAAATGCCCCTGTGGTGAGAAGTAGACATGAAAATCAAATACTACACAACAAATATCACTACTCAAATACAGATGATCTGCAACCAGCAATCACAACCTTCTAATCCTTGCAATACGCTGCAGGACTCAAGGTTTGTTAGCACCACCCTCAAAAGCAGCATTTCTAATCTTCCCTCCCTCTTCAACTGCTGTGTTACTCCTGCAAAAATTACCAATGGGAAGAATGCTTGCAAACATTCTGTTGTGAAACTTAACAGAGTTATAAACAGAAATATTACTCACTTTTGTCTCTTTTTGTTTTGTTCCTTGATACTTCTAACCATATCCATAGCCATATTTTGGTGCTCTCTTGTTTGTGAATGCATATCCAGGCCCTCCATGGTTTCACAATCAACCTTGCAAATGCGACACCAGCCCATACTCAGTGAAATCCTATTCCTTGTTCTATCGAAGGAGTCAGCATCACCCTGAAATGTTAAAAAACATTCAGCATTACATGATTCTCCTAGTCCCATTGAATTGCTAAATTGACTAACAATTGAGTGGATAAAAAATGAGAGTTAATAAAAAAAATGGAAAAATTCAAAAGATGACAAGACTTTCCATAAAAGTTTCTTCATTAGAAACTCCTTGTAGAGAATATCTGCTCCTAAAAACAGGCTCCCCAGGACGCGGAAAAGCTGGCTTGTTCCCTCCAAATGATTCACCAAACGGTAGATGCGGCAAACTACCAGGGCCTCCAAATGGACCAAAACCAGCAGGTTCTCCAATGTGCAAATTTCGACGTCCCAAAGGATCAACCCCTCTCAAATGTCTAGGTACCATATGCTCGCCCACCATGTCTCCCCGTGGGTGGCGATGCAAAGGAAGGAACCCGTCATCATGAAATGAGTTCCTAACTGGATTAGGAGGATGTCTGAAAGGTCTAGACCCTCCAGGAAACATGTGTGCTTCTCTGCCATCAAGATCATCAAAACCAGCAGGACCATGAGGAAGAAATCCACGGGGTGGGATGCCAAAGTATTCTCTGGGAGGACTCCTAGGAGCAAAGCGATCCATGCGTTCAGGACCAAATCCATGTCCTGGTCCAAGAAAATCAGTATGCCTGTGGACAAAATCAGCATTTCTTCTCTCGTCATTAAGCAGACTATGCCGCAATTCTCTCTCTGCACCACCAATATTGAATGGGGCACCAGGAGGATGATATGGTGGCAAAAATCTTGATGGAGCAAGAGCATTACTGTCATAGTTAAATCCATGAGGCCCCTTGTCAAATGGACCAGGTCCAGCTACAATAGCAAACCAAAAAGAATTTGAGTATCAGAAGTTCAGGGTCCATGACTACTAAAAAATAAGAAATATATAGAAGTATATTAAAATAAATGCTCCCTCCAAATCACCTTGATCAAGAGGCCAACGAGGTTCTCCTGGAAAAGTTCCCGAATGATCCACACCTGAGACTTTCAACCTTTCATCATGAGAATGTTCAGTGTGATATGGCAGTCCTCTGTCAATTCCATTCATCCTTCTGTTATGGAACATTTCAGCTTCCATTCGATTAGTTGGATGCTGCTGCCCAAAGTGACTTTCATTGACATTCAAAGGAGTATGATGGGGGGCAAAGTGGCCTTCAGGTCCAGATAGTGGTGCTCTTCCCATACCAGCTGAACCAAAAGGCAAAGCACTTGAAGGAAATCCCTGAGAAGTGTTAGATGAAACTTCAAAGCCTGTATGGGGATGAAAATTACCAGGCAATCTACCAGAGGCTCTGTCTATCAAACCGTCAGTATGAGCTGATTTGGCACCAGATGACAACTCTGCAGCATTCCCACTATGCTCTTCCTTAACAGTTTGCTTCATTGCAGGGTCATTAGAATTGCCTTTATCAGTGTGATTGCTTCTCGCACACTCCATTGCGGTATCTTGTTCACTGATCATGCCTGTTTCCAGTTTTACAGCATTAGTTTCAAAAGATTCAGTTCCAAGCACACCGCCCTCCTTGCCAGCACTGTTTTGAGAAGTTATTGTAGTTTTTGCTTTGTGTTCAAGTTTTGTGAATGTGGGGTCAACTTGGCCCTCATGTGCTACAGATTTCTTTTGATCTATAGAAGCTTGCAGTTGGTTGTTCACAGAGTTTGAATAATGACCATTAGGTGGTTGGTTTGAGCCATGTTGCACTGCTAGATTTGGATGTGCAACACCGGATCCACTAGATGCAGGAGGCATTGCTTTTCCAAAATAATTGTGAGATGATTGAGGGTGCATGCCAGGACCTAACACAACATTTGGCTGTGATTGGACAGGGGCATGATAGCTTTGAGTTGATTGAGGTGCCATATGAGGAGGACCAGGTGGATGTAAGTAAGCCGGCTGCTGATGCACAGAGGGACCTTGCTGGTGTGACTGGCTAGGGAATGCACCCGCAAATGGCTGCTGGGGATACTGCTGAGACACCGGTAGTTGAGTTGCTTGAGGAGGACGTGACTGAACTGGAAGGCCATTGTATTGAGCATTTGGGGGGAGCAAGGATTGTTGTGAAACAAATTGACCTTGAGAAGTCAGCATACCCTGTTGTTGATTGGCAATAGGAGCATGAGGAGGGCGCATCATAGGTTGCTGCTGCTGCAGAACCTGACTTTGGGTGTGGGCAGAAGGGAGAGGTCCACTTGCGCCAGACCTCACAGGCATTTGAAGTTGAGATTGTGGGTAGGACTGGTGTCCTGTGAGTGCATGAGGAGGTTGAAGTGGGTTCTGAGGCTGGAGTATGGGAGCAGCAGCAGGCTGGTTAGACTGAGGAGGGTGCATGCTTACTTGCGGTTGGACTTGAGGATTTTGCTGTGGTAATGCCATAGATGGCTGTGCATTATGCAAATTTACAGAAGGCTGCTGGTAAGGAGGGGCTTGCATATGTTGCAATCCTTGTGGATGTGGCTGCACTGGATAAGGCTGTGGGGCCTGACCATGAGGAGGTGGATATGATTGTGGGGGAACTTGTGCATGCGATTGTACAGGAGGCTGAAATAATTGTTGTTGGTTGACTTGACTTTGGTTCTGGTGTTGTGTAGCCAAAGGTTGAATATGCTGTTGGACCTGCACTTGCGTTGGAACTTGGGCTTGAGGCTGAGATTGAGTTGATGGTTGAGGTTGCACCTGGGGATAAGATTGTGGTTGAGCCTGGAGCTGAGGTTGGCCGTAGACTTGAGGCTGTGTTTGCCCTTGCACATGTGGTGGGTGTTGTTGATATTGTTGCACACCCTGTTGTTGGTAGGGATAGTACTGTTGATAAGACTGCTGATAAGGGTCATATCCAGCATACTGCTGATAGTATTGCTGATACTGTTGTTGGTACCACTGTTCAGGAGTAGCCACAGCAGTTGGGGCTTGAGAATTGACATTAGTTTGCTGGTTGAGATCTTGACCAGGAAGCGAAGGAGCAGCACTAATCTGCGGATTCTGAACCTGAGAAGCTTGTGAGTTAGGTTGAGCAACTTGTTTATTCTGGTCAGTACCTGCAGCAGCAGCAGTAGCTGGTGCTCCAGATTGAGAGTTAGGATTAACTTCTACAGCCTGCTGTGATGGATACACACCCTGCATTTTTTAAATTATAGCATATAATATAACTATCCCTAAAAAGAGTATGCAAGCATATGAAATAATACTTAGTATCTATGGTTCCCTAAAAAATAGGGAAGGCTTGGTACACTTGTTTATTTTTTTGGTTGAGGATGGAAGAGATGGGAGGACTAAAATCGTGAGACGCTTTTTTTCTTAAACATATCATGGAAAGGTCAGATGATGAGAAAAGAGTCAAAACTCATTAAATTGTCTAGGGTTTATAGAATCTTCCTGTAAAAAATAAGTACTCCGTATTTAAATTCAGTAAGGTAACATAGAAGATCCCTATGAAAGAAATGGGCATTAATACACTCACTGCACAAGTCTGAGCATGTTCATGCACTTGCCGATGCACAATTTGCACTCCACACCTGTTGCATATAACTGGGGAATTTCCATAAGCACATCCAGGACAATGTGAGGTACATTCAGATAAAATTCCTTCCCATGTACATCCACTTTTATGAAATAGACAGCGCACTTTGACTTTGCCAATGGTCTCGGCAAGAATTTTGTTTGTTTCAATAAGAGGCTGCCATGATAAGCAAATATTTCAGGATTTTTAATGCAATGAAAAAGTGTAAATCATTTGAAAGGAAAAATAAAATTAGTCTCATAACCTAACCTTGGAATGTGCTTCAAGCACTAAATACCCATCATATGGACATGCCTTGTCCCCATTAGAAACATGTGCCAAACAAGCTTTGCAATAGAGATGAGTGCATTGAGACTGAAGTGCTTCATTTGGGTATACGAGAGTGCGGCAAACGGGACAGAAATATTCCCCAGGATAATTGTGGATGTCAATTATACACTCAATATCAAAACCCATATCAGCTCAGGGATATGATATCAGTTCCTGAGATGCATACAACCGTGCAGCAAAGCTTTGAATGACTCTAACCTGAAATGAAAACCCATCACAACTACATTTGATAATAAAGAGATAATAAAGAGAAGATGCAACCGGTTGACTAGGACATTGTTTAAAATTCAACTCCCTGGTAGCTGATTGAGTGCGGATTGTTTTAACTGCTGTAACCCAGAAAAATTAAGACTTTCTAAGTTTAGAGTTTACTTGGAATAAATTGGATGCACCCAAATTATCGGGTGACCTGATAATGTGAAACTAGGGCTAACAATGGCCAGTTGACTACACGAATCTGAAACGATCAGCAAGGTATCAACAAAAATTTCTCTATCCTTGATCATGTACTTATTCCATGGTACACATTCATAAGTTAGCTTCTAGTGCTACCAAAGTCCCTCAAAGGAACATATTAATTCTCGCTCATTCAATTGACCCTTTTTAAAGAGTGTCAAGGCAATGGAAGTCATCAGCCACAAGCACAACATAGAATACCAGTACAGCAAAAAAGATAAAAGACGGGACATCAAGCACTTTGATTGGATTTTCATATGTTCTGAAAATGCGATAACATCTCACTCAGGATGCCATTTCAACGTCAATAGAAAAAAAAATACGCTAATAGAGTTTACTCGATACAGAAAGAAAGAACCGCGAACATGGACAAACATATTTCACAGTAAAATCTTGCTAGGGTTTCTGGTGTCAAAGAAATCCAGGTTCAGGGACGGAGCCTTTAATCAACAGCTAGGAAGTAACAAATAGCAATATAGCACCAATCATCTAATTGAGTAACGAATAGATTCAAAAACTCAATTAATTAATTAATTAATGAGAACATAAAAATTCGGAAATACTTAAAGTCCCGCGCTGCGGCAGTAGCAGTATATGAGGCGACCGGCGGTGTCGCGATGGCCGATCCTCCTTCAGTTCGAGAGTTGGGGCTGATATGGAAACGGGGTATAGTGTGTGCGCACAGGCGGCACAGTATATAAGCGGAAATTGGGGCAGCGAAACTGGGGAAGGGCAGAACGATGACAGTCTTGTGATTTTGAATACTCGTGTAAGTTTTCTTTTCAGTTTGTTTAGAACTCTAACTACGTGCTACCTCCCTTCCAAAATATTTTGCAAAATCAATTTCATATTTCTTTTTTGTCAAATAACATTAAAGTTAAATCTCTCAATGATTTTTTTTGAAATACAAAATCTATCAATAATTAATTCAATTTAAATAATTAAGATTTACATATTCATAAATATTCATAAATGTTGAAGGAAATTACTTTAATGTGCATTCGTTATAGACAGAAAGTGTATCTAGGGTTTATATGTATTGATCTAATTGGCTCATTGAGTCATGTCTGGTAAACCTCTAATCCCTCCTATTTAAAGGGGGCTTACTAATGGAATAAGAACACGATTCACTTCCCTACAACACGTTATCAGCTTGTATACTCTAGACTAGAAGCCCTAAATTATTTTTGTGTCAAACATCGTAGCAGACCTTTGTAGCACTCTCCTCTCTCCTCTCATCATCATCAACCCACTACAAAAGCCACACTTTGAGGAATAGTGGGACCACACACACTATCCTACGAAATAGGCAATCATTTGTCAAATTAATAGCCTAATTCTTATGTGAGTACAATGATTGGATCTTCAAATGTACTAAGAGGGCGAGGTACTACCCAATTTATGTTGCCTAATGGCACAAGATTCATCGTCACAGACGCTCTATATGCACTTAGAGCTACCCGGACCTTATTAAGTTTTAAAAATATTCGTGATGATGGGTTTCATGTGGAAACTCACCGTGAGAATGGTGTAGAGTATTTATACATTACCTCTAATGAATGCGGAAGAAAACACATACTAGCGAAATTAATGAGTCAATCTAGTGGACTTTATGTCACCACTATTTGGATCTTTGAATCTTATGTTGTCACCAACGATGAAATTTGGGACACAGACTCATACAAGCTTTGACACGATCGTCTTGGACACTCTGGTCGTGACATGATGTTTCGTATATTAAAAAATTCACATGGACATCCTTTCTTTCGAGGAAGGAATAAATATGGGCAAAAGTCAAACACATTGAAAGGTGTTAGCCCTACATCTGTACAAACTGAAAAAGCATCTTCTGAACTACGAGAAGAATTAGCTCATGCATCTCTAGCTATGTCCAGATAAAAAATGACATTTTGTAAAGCCTGCTCTTTAGCAAAAATAGGATCGAGACCATCATATGTCAAAGACACAAAAGAAAACATCTCATTCTTACCAAGAACACAAAGAGATATATGTAGACCCATCCATCTAGAATGCGGACCATTTAGATACTTTATGGTTTTGGTGGATCCATCGACCCGTTAGTCACACGTTGCTTTACTGTCCACACGGAACGCTGCATTTGCAAAGCTCCTAGCACAAATAATCCGTTTAAGGGCTCACCACCCTGATAATCATGTCAAGTCAATAAGACTTGATAATGCTGGTGAGTTTACATCAAAGACTTTTGATGAATATTGCATGTCCATCGTGATCGATGTAGAGCATCATGTTCTCCATGTACATACACAAAATGGTCTTGCATAAACTACAATCAAAAGACTACAAATGACAGTTAGGGCATTGGTTATGCGCACCAACTTGCCCATATCTGCATGTGGATATGCAATATTACATGCAACAATACTTATTCTCTTTAGACCCACTGCAAACCAACCATTTTTTTGTGTACCAGATAGTCAGTGGATATGAACCTGACATTTCACATCCAAGCATATTTGGTTCTGCAGTATATGTGCCAATTGCGCTCCCACAATGTACTAAAATGGGTCCTCAAAGGCGAATAAGTATATACGTTGGATACGAATCTTCAACAATCATCCGCTATTTAGAACCTTTGACAAACGATCTTTTTACAGCATGATTTGCGGATTTTCACTTTGATGAGACAACATTCACGTCATTAGGGGGAGATAGGAAAACGAACTTTTCGAAGGGACGACATGAATTGACCTGGTGCGATCCGACCTTGTCTCATTTTGATATCCCGCACTTCACAATGTGAAAGTGAAGTTAAAAGAATGATCGATCTCCAAAATGTAGCAAACTCTATGCATGATTCATTTACAGACATCGCTAAAGTGACAAGATCACACATACCAGCGGCAAATGTGCCATAGTAGGAGGCATTACAAACACACTTAGTGGAGGTGTGGTTAAGGTCGTGGCTCCTCAAAGGAAGAGAGGAAGACCACTTGGTTCAATTGATACTCGCCGAAGGAAGAGAAGGACGAGTATGGCACAACCCGATCCACTAATCATCGATGTATAACACCCCTCCAATGAGATTATCTTTGATTACAGTTATGTCCACAAATCATTACTGGAGGATGCTCTAATGATAGGAAAATCTCAATGGGTAGTGAAAATACACATGTGTTGATGGAAACATCTTTCATACAGATCGATGACATGTTTGCATTTAATGTTGCTCAAGAAATAATATAGCACGATGATAGCGAACCACGCTCTATTGTAGAATGTCAACAAATAGCGGATTGGCCTAAATGGAAAGAAGCAATTCAGGCAGAACTAGATTCTCCGAAAAAAAGATCAGTGTTTGCTCCGGTAGTGCTAACCCCACCAAGTGTAAAGGCTGTAGGACATAAATGGGTATTTGTCAGAAAGCGAAATGAGAAGAATGAAGTCTTGAGATACAAGGCTTGCTCGTGGCGCAAGGTTTCTCACAACGCCCTGGGATTGACTACAAGGAGACATGCTCTCCCGTAATGGACGTTATAACATTCTGATACCTAGTGAGTTTAGCAGTTTTCGAAGGACTGGAAATGCAACTAATGAATATGGTTACTGCATATCTCTATGGGGATCTTGGTTCAAAGATATAGATGAAAGTGACCGAAGGACTTTCACTACCCAAATCAAGTGACTCTAAAGCACGGAGTGCCTTTGCAATCAAATTGAAGCGCTCACTTTTCGGATTAAAACAATCTGGGCAGATGTGGTATACCCGCCTAAGTGACTACTTAATTGGGACGGGACATATGAACGATGAACTATGCCCCTGCGTATTTATTAAGAAAATAAGTTCCAGATTCGCAATTGTGGCTGTATATGTTGATGATATGTACATAATTGGCACTCTTGATGAAATAAAACAAACCGCCAGCCATCTGAAATCTGAATTTGAGATGAAATACCTTGGGAAAACCCGATTTTGTCTAGGCCTTAAGCTAGAACATCGAGTTTGTGGAGTATTAATCCATCAGTCTGTGTATATCCAAAAGATGCTCAGGCGATTTAATATGGATAAAGTGCACCCTGTTAGCACTCACATGGTTGGTCGAAGTTTAGATCATAAAAGGATCCATTTCGTCGAAAGGAAGAAGACGGAGAAGCACTCAGAGCCAAAATTCCCTACCTAAGTTCAATAGGCGCATTATTGTACTTAACACGGTGCACTTGACCAGATATAGCATTCTCGGTGAACTTGTTAGCTAGGTTTAGCTCCGCGCCAACGCAGCGTCACTAGAATGGTATCAAAAATATTTTTCAAAAACTAAAAGGAACTAGTGACTCGGCACAAAGGTGAGTATTGAAGGAAATTACTTTAATGTGCATTCATTATAGATAGAAAGAGTAAATACAAATTCTTGGAGGAAATTTAGCCCAATGAATCATTGTCTTCTTAAGACGAATTTTCCCACAACACAAGCTGCAATCACTTCCCGTGATAAAATGATTTGTACGTTCCCGAAGAGCACAAGCGAACTCTATGAATGGAGTAGCGGATGAGAACAGGAAGGAATGTCAAAATCATTATTTTTTAGGATAGATAGAAATGCAGCCGGCCATGGGTATATAATATATTATAGAGGTTCGGCCTAGAAACTCTCCACACAAAAGACACCTTTAGAAAGAAAGATTGTGTCTATTTCCAAGCATTATCAAAATTTGAGAGTAAATAAAGAGAATTATCATTAAGTCATATACTCGGGCGTTCGGTTTAAGACCCTAACCCGACGAACTGGATGTCAACAACGATGCATGCGTGAGGCATAATTCCACGTGTATCTTTCAGAGGACCATTTTCATTCATTTCAAAATGGGTTTCTACAAATAATATACAGAGACATTCATCTTGCATAGTATAATATGTTAGGATTTAGTCGTGTTAAAATCGAGACGTGGGCGTGTTGCATATTTTAGCCCCAAAATGGCCATAATATTAATTTGTAAAACCGTGTTTCCAACACTTCATATGCAAATATTTAAAAGGGAAAACTATCAAATAAGCCCCCGTACTAAAAGTCGAGTAGGTCCTCGTACTTTACAAACACTCAATTAAGTCCTCGAACTACTAAAAAACGTTCAATTAAGCCCTTTCGGTCGGTAAGTAACCGGTTTCCCGGTTAAATGTAACCTGTTTCCCGGCAGCCGCAGTTGCTAGAGTTCGAGAACATCGTCGCCGTCGTCGCCGTTTAACCGGTCAGAAACATTTACCGACCGAAAGCACAATAGTCTATGACCATTCAAACATTGTAAATCTTGTGGCAACCGTTCAAAAAAATAAATATAATTTTTTCATAATTCTACATATTTAGTTAATTTAATCACTTGAATCAAAAATCTTAAATTAATTTCTGCATATTCAAGTGATTCACCTATTTTTGTGGTATCAGTCTATCAGATATGCCCTTGTTGAGCCTCCAATATCCAACAGACAGATCCCCTGTAAGGGCCCCATGACCCCGGCTAACCTTTGGGAAGCCGATATCCGTGGGAATTCCGGTTTCGGACAAGAAAAATAAATTTGTTCACCCTCTCAAAAGAGGGTGATGTTCACCCCACCCTAGTTGCCTTGCATTTGGCATGCCAACTCTTTAATATTTGGCAATTGTTTTAAATTTTTTATTTGTAATCTAGTTTTTTTTAAAGATACACCAATTTTTTTTATTTATTTATGTTGTTTCATATGATACCAATATTGTATTTGTAAAATTTTAAAAAGAATCCATCTAAAACTAGATATTTAATAAATGTTTTGTTATAATTTTTTATATG